TTATAAGCATAGCCTGGAGCTCTATGACCTTGGACAAGTTCCTGAAGCTTCCTCCATCTCATTTGTCTCTTCTGTTAAGATGCAGATAATGTTAGTACTGGCCTCATTGGATGGTGTGAGGATTAGATCAATTAACATATGGTAAAGAAATTAAAATGGTGTGTGGCATATAGTAACCATCTGATATTATTAAGTCTGATATTGTTTTCAAGTTTCTTCTTGGCTTATGTTTAATACCATCTTCCTAAATATTACATTAAAACAAAACAAAACAAAACTCATTAGCACCAGGCCACAAGAATAATGGTGAACTGGAACATTTACATGCTAAATGTCTTATGCCATAGATTTTACTAGAAACCATTTAGGTCTAAGAACTTCTCAACTTTAAGACAGAGACAGTAAGCTACTGTTTGGAGTTGTGTACAACTGGCATCTAGAATCCTATTTTATATATGTATAGAATCCTATATTATATATGTTATCTTATCTATTATCACTGAAGGAAGTATTTCCAGAAGTAATTCATTTTTCCCCCTGAACAATTAAAAACTGATATAAATTACAAAAAAGTTATGAAAAGTATAAGTTGTGAAAGCTACCTATTTACTTTCATTTTTTTCTTTAAAAATGAGCTTAGAGTAATAAAAAGATATTAGTCATTCTCAGAGAAATTCTCTTGTCCTGTGTCATTAACTAACTTAGCTGAGACAGTATGAAATATCAAAACAAGATAGACGGTAGGAAGCTGAATTGCTATAACTAAATAATCTCATGGGAAATGAACTCGGTTTCACTGAGGGCTCTTTTGGCAATGTGGATAAAAAGTGATGACCACCATTTTAAAGAGTGCTTTTAATTTCACATGTAGGTAGGTAGTTGAAAAACAGAAAGAAACTGACCTTTCTAAGTTTTTCTGTTTCAGCAGAACTGGAAAATAAAGTAATTATTAAGTAGAAATTAGTATTGTTCTCTAATTTCCTGAGCCTTTGAATCAAAGGATATGAATGCCTGTGAACATTTTATTATTCTGATTATCATTCATCTACTATCAAAAGGTAGCGAAGTCTTCCTAATTCCTATAAAATATTTTATTTCTTTATGCAACCCACCTCTTTGAAAGCTGGGATAAATCAGAATAGCTTGGTTTTTTATCCTAAAAGATAATAGGAAAATCATAATTGAATTTCACCTTGATCTCATCAGCTATACAAGTTGTCTTTGACTGCTTTAGCTTTATATGATGCACTGCATTAATATGCTAATAAAATTTTGGCATGCTTTATTTAGAAAATAATCTTAATATACCAGTGAAGATCTAAGTCCTGTTCATTATTTGTAGATATTGCTTTCTAATTTATCCTTATACTCTGCTTTAAACCAAGCCACATCTTCTCTGTCCTGGACTTGTGAAATCATCTTCTAACTTTTCTCCCTGTACAATGAATTGAATATTTATTATCCCCCCAAATTCATATGTAGAAATCCTAACCCCCTGGGTGATGGTATTAGAAGGCAGGGCCTTTGGGAGGGGATTAGATGATGAGGGCAGAGACCTTGTGAATGAGGTGAGTGCTCTTATGAAGAGATTGAAGGCAAATAGATAACAGATATGGTAGAAAAGAAACAAATGAAACAGGTAACTGCGAAAGCTTCCACTTGTAATACCATGCTCTGGAGCAAATAAAAGTTTTCTGCGATAAATAATTATTCATCATCTGCTGGTAGTATTTTATACTGAATGATAAGGAAGCCCCTCTGAGAAGGATGATACTTGAATGTCTTGAAAAACAAGGAGCCAGTTCTGTGAATATCTAGAAAAACAGGAGAGAAAAAAGAGTGACAGAGACAGAGATACTACAAAATAATAAAAAAAAAATGTATTCATCTTGCCATCTATAGATAATTGTTCTAACCACTGCAGTATGTATGATTTTCTCTGTCATATATAGGCATGTCTATTTATATAGATAAATAGATATAGATATATGCACATATATACATACAAAATTAGATAATTTTTTAAAAATTGCGTTCTAGTATACATATCCCTTAATAATCTACTTTTATCATTAAAGACTTATAAACATTTTTCTTTATCACTAATTATTCATTCACAGAATTAATTGTTCCTTAGTGTTTCAGAATGAAGGAATGTTCTATATTTTACCAATTCCAACTGTTTGATGCTTGGGTAGTTTCCAATATGTACTATTATAAACATCACTGAGATTTAAAAAGCCTTGTAAATAAAATAGTGTCCATATCTATCTTTATTTCCTTATAATAATTTTCTACATGTGAAATATTTTAGTAAATAATATAAAAATTAAAAGCTTTTAATTTCCAAAATGCTCTTCATAAAGGCAAACTGATAATCCACCTAGCAATGAATATCTGTTCTCCACCCACACCATCAATACCTATGATCATTTATTTTATTCTTTTAAGATCTCTTTTTAGCATAAAAAATAATAGGTTATTTATCACCACAATTCCCAATAACATTATTTGGACTTTTGGCATCAGTTACTTGCAAAAATAGATGCACAAACATGTATTCTCACACTCCTTAACAGGAGTGGTCCATCTGCTAAACTTGCCCATGTAATTCTTATAGATGCAATATGTTAGTTGAAAACCACTGCCCTAGAAAATGTAATAAAATGCAGCACCATAATACCCAAATTAGAGATTTTTAAGAAAGCATAAAATTGCATGTGAAAGAATAGCATGTTGATCTTTGAAAGCCTCATTCTAAAGAGTAGAGAGAATGGGTTTTGATTTCATTGGCTCCTCCACATGCAGAATTACTACATGCTCAGGAAGATTTTCAGTCTGGGAATAGCTCAAGGTTTTCCAGAGCCACAGTTGAGAAAACGAGACTTGCCCCATCTGCTGTGATACATCAGGGATGTAAGGGCACATTATGAAAACAGTTTATCTTGGGTTTCTATAATGTTAGGACATTTTCAGTAGCAAGTAACAAAAAAGATGATTTTTCTGGCTCAGGCAAAGTAAGTAGTATCCAGGATTTCAACAGGGCAGGTACCTTTCTGCTTCTTCTTCTTTCTTTAAGCTTGTTCCTCTGTGTGTTAGCTTGCTTCTTTCTCAGACCTTCTCTCTCCCCATGTCGGGAAAGTTGGCCTCCAATAACCCCAAGGTCACCCATGAAAGTGAGAGTCAACCCTGCCAAGACCATCTGGAGTCTGGGAGGGGGATTCTGTACAAAAACCCAGATATCAGCCTATCAATCAATCTCCTGCTGCTATTCTTTCCAATAGATCTCTCTGAAGACTACCCATGGTATAAAAGCATTTATTTTCGCACTTAACTGCTGCCCTCTAGCTAGCAAAACCAGTAGGCACCAAAAGCAAGGGATCAGATATCGAGACTTGAGGCCAACATTTCTGTTTCAAAGGCTGTCTGCAGAAATGTGGCTAGAAGTGGAAGGCCATTTACCTAGGTGACTAAAGGAGCTGACTCATGAGCTGGAGAACAGCTCAAGGACAGATGGATGGTGCTTTTTTGGAATTGAGGAAGCAACATTTTGTTAGAAAGTGATTGAAATCTGCTTGCATTCTATTGAAAGGTCTGGTGGCCTTTCCATTGGTATTTGCTTCCATGAGTAACAACCAACCATAGACCAGTGTCCTCTTCAATAATAGCAATCTATGTTTAACAATGTCTAATATTTGATGCTGACATAGATTACTCTTTAATCTCAATGGCTACACATTACTCTGGATAAAATTTAGCATAACCAACAGGCTAGCCTACTGAATATTCACATATTGTATGTAAAACTATGAAAAAAGTTCCAAAATTTTTACTCATTCTGCATTTACTTATATATTCCTAAACTGTTAAAAATGAATCTCTTTTTCTTTGTTGTTTTCAATTGGATTCTTTTTGGGAAAACAGACATTCACATAGCATCAGTATGCATTCCCTACTTTCTTTGCATGTTTATACTTTTACTTGATAAGAATTCCCATTGCTGTAAATGGCCAGACCTGATAGAGCCTTTTTCATTTCTCTCCTTTCCCTGTTTTTCTCCTTAGCCTTCTTTGTTAGCCCACAGAGAACCTGAGAAACAACACTGGGTAACAGATATCAGATTTTTGAAATCAGATTTTTGGCTAATTGTATAATCTTGGAAAAGTTACAGAGCCTCTTTGAATGTGTCTCTTCATGGTAAAATTGGAAAAAAAAATTTAACACCTACCTCATCAGGTGAATAAGAGAATTAAAACTGATAACATACAATGTTTATAATACATGCCCTGAAAGATAGGATGCACTTAATAATAGCAGTTATTATTTACAAAAGACAATGTTTGAGATAAAGATAAAAGTTCCAATTGTACTTATTCAAACAAGATGCAAGGCAATAACACTGAATGTTTTGTGCTGATATGTAATCATTTAATTAGAAACCAAGATCTGAAAATTGGTTCACAAGGATTGAAAAACTCCTTGATCATTCACACAATGAGAAATATAAATGTAGCAACTTTAAAGGCATCTGTGCTTGGTGCAGATTCTTGCCTTAAATAGTTAAAAATGGCACAGGCATGTTGTTTTCACTGTGAGCTGATTATGTATCTAAAGTCTTAAAATTGATTCGCCTTTACTTTGTTTAGGGTAGAAAATTCTCTTCATCATTATCAACCTCATATCACATTTCTTTACTGTCCTCAGCTAAGTTGTTATTGGAAGATACATGTGGAATCTGCCCAAACTCCTCTTCTCACCAGATAATCTTTTAAACAGCATGCACCATAATTGAGTTCAGGTGGCAGCCATCAATGAGCTAAATCTTGAATGAGATTAAGATGAATGACAGCGCTGCTTGCCAAAGTCCCATTGCCCCAGAAAGAAATGCGAAATTAATGGTATCAGTGATGGCAAAAGACAAACAAACAGGAAAAGGGAAAAGCATGTTTAAACATATGTCATGCACATTTCAGTGAACACAAATCTCTGTCATTCCGTACCTTTAATACCCCCATGCTCCTGGGATCAACCATGTAGAACCAGAACCGAACCGTACACATGCCGAGGCTGGCTGGGAAGTATCTGGAGGTAGTGATTCTTGCAGTGCCTCCTCCTTTGGGCCCAGATGAGTTGACATACAGGAATTGCTTGCCACTACCTTGAAATAGATTAATACAATTTTTTCAGTGCAATGAAAATATTTTATAATATGGGGCAGAATGATTTCAACCATGCACAACTATCATTTTCTCCCTAAACACACACACACACACACAGACACACACACACACACATACACTCCTGCAGAACTCATATTCTTTGAGTGAGTCATATATCAATAACATTTAATCCTTTTGAACCAAAAAAAGAGTGTCACTATGATTATGTGCATAATACAATCACATATTTGTTTTGACTATGAGGTTATATTCCTTTCCTTCCAATTTGCTTCTAATTTGTAAATAGAGTTCTTTGTATGCTGGTACATAGTAGGTATTGGGACTGATTGGTATTGTATTAATATCTTATTTTCAGTTGCTCTGGTTCCCACACTGACCAGAGCAGTAGTGAATGGCTATACTGCAAAGCAAAATGTGATTCTGGGAGTCATCACATTATTTTTTTCTGAGCAATAGATAACTTCTATTCTACTCAGCTACATTAGCATGTGAAAGATTTCTGTATTTAAACAATAATTGTATTTTTTTCTGTTGACATTGTTAAAAATTCATCATAACCACTATTCTTTGAGGCTTTTACTGGAGTAGAATATTATATATATATACATATATATATTTTTTCCTTAAGCAAAATATTCATTTGTAGTTCCAAGTTGAGGCTATTAAAGTATTTTCTAGTTAAAGGATCCTTTTTAGGCCAGGCGCAGTGGCTCACGCCTGTAATCCTAGCACTCTGGGAGGCTGAGGCGGGAGGATTGCCCGAGGTCAGGAGTTCAGAGTTCGAAACCAGCCTGAACAAGAGCGAGACCCCGTCTCTACTATAAATAGAAATAAATTAATTGGCCGACTAATATATAGAGAAAAAAATTAGCCGGGCATGGTAGCGCATGCCTGTAGTCCCAGCTACTTGGGAGGCTGAGGCAGCAGGATTGCTTGAGCCCAGGAGTTTGAGGTTGCTGTGAGCTAGGCTGATGCCACGGCACTCACTCTAGCCCAGGCAACAGAGCAAGACTCTGTCTCAAAAACAAAAACAAAAACAAAAAAAACAGGATCCTTTTTTCCTTGTGCCATTTTAGTGTTGTTACTCAGATATGTTTTTAAATCAATAGCTGTGAGTTAGTTAATAGTACAACAGGGTTCTTTTCTGAAGCTTTTCTTTTTGAAACACTTGTTGTCAGTTAAACTGAGTATCCTCCAAATAACCAGACTATGCATTAGTTACCTTTATCTCCCCAGCATTTACTTCTTCAGTGCAAGGAAAACTCATCAGGACTCCCCTGAATACAGTTGAAAATGGAAGTGGCCACAGTGTATTGCAAAGGAGAGTTAGATGCTTACATCATACTATCCAATGGTCTTTTTGCCTTTTCATATTCTTGATGGATATTGTTTTAATGGGTTTCGTGGTAAATAAAACAATCTGTTATAGTCCTCACAGAGTCCACATAGAGTGGAGATGCTAAGCGTTTGTTTAATCTTGCATCTATCTTTTAAAAAAATTAAGATACTTTATTTTTTAGAGCTATTAGGTTTAAAGGAATTTGAGAAGAAAAGTACAAAGAATTCCATATACCCTAACCCATTCATCCCCCCAAATTAGCCTATTATTAACCTCTTGCGTTATTAGTGCAGTATATTTGTTACAATTAATCAGCCAATATTGATGCATTATTAAATATTGTATTGGCTATTCTGGGTTTTTCACCTTTCCATACAAACTTTAGAATTGGTTTGTTAATATTTACAAATAACTTGCTGGGATTGGAATTGCATTGAATCTAGACATCAAGTTGGGAAGAAATGACATCTTTAAAATATTGAGTCTTCCTAACCATATACATATAGTATCTCTCCATTTATGTAGATCTTCTTTGATTTCTTCCATAAAAGTTTCATAGTTTTTCTCATATAGATCTTGAACTTATTTAATTAGATTTATATCTATGTACTTCTCTCTTTTTGGGGTGCTATTGTTTTCCTTACTTGTTTTATTGCATTAGCTAAAATTCCAGCACACTGCTAAATAGAAGTGTTGAGAGCAGGCATCTTTGTCTTGTTCCTTGTCTTACCAGGAAAGCTTCTGGTTTGTCACCATTAAGAATGGTGTTAGCTGTAGGTTTTCTGTAGATGTTCTTTATCAAGTGGAGGAAGTGCTCCTTAATTCCTAGTTTACCAAGAGATTTTTATTATGAACGAGTGTTGGATTTTGTCAAATGCTTTTTCTGCATCTATTGATGTGATCAGTCTTCTTTAGCCTGTTCATGTGATAGGTTGTATTGATATTTGAATACTGAACCACCTCACCATGCTCAGAATAAACTCCACTTGGTCATGGTGCATAAGTTTTTTTTCTTTTTACTGTTCAGTTAGAATTGATAATATTTTGTTGAGGATTTGTATCTATGTTTATGAGATATGTTGGTCTGTACTTTTCCTTTCTTATAATGTCTTTTTTATGTTTGGTCTCAGAGTAATTCTGGTCTCACACAATAAGTTAGGAAGTGTTCCCTCTGTTTCTATTTTCTGGAATAGATTTTAGAGAACTCTTACAATTTCTTCTTTAAGTGCTTGGAAGAATTTACAGTGAAACATATGGGCCTGTGGCTTTCAGTTGTAGAAGATTATTAATTACTTATGCAATTTCTTTAATAGATAGAGGTCAATACAGATAGCTTATTTATCCTTGTTAGATTTGGTAGATTGCATTTTGAAGGAATTTTTCCATTTCATCTGGTTACCAAGTTTGTGGGCATAGAGTTGTTCATAACATTCCTTTACTATCATTTCAGTACCCAGGGATCAGTTATAATGACCCCTTCTTTTATTTTGGATATTAATTATTTCTGATAGTAATTTGTGTCTTCTCTTTCTTTTTTTAATTAACCTGGCTAGTAGGCTTTCAATCTTATTGGTCTTTGAAATAACTGGCTTTTAGTTTCATTGATTTTTCTCTATTGATTTCTTAATTCAATTTCATTAATATCTGCCCTAATATTTATTATTTATTTTCTTCTGCTTACTTTGGATTCAGCCACTCCTCATTTTTCCTAAGATGTAAGCTTAGATTATTGATTTTAGATCTTTCTTCTCTTCAAATGTGTATATTCAATGCTAAAAATTACCCTGTACACACTGCATTAGCTGAAACCCACAAATAATGTTATACATATTTTTAATTTAGTTCAAAATACTTAAAAAATGTTCTTAGGACTTCTTCTTTGACCCATGTGTTATTTAGAAGTCTTTCATTTACTCTTCAAGCATTTGGGAGTTTTCTGTTGCTGATTTCCACCTTAATTACATTGTTGTCTGACAGAATACCTTGTATGATTGCTATTCCTTTAAAATTTGCTAGGTTATGTTTTATGGTCTAGATATAGAGTGTCCTGATTGTATATGTGAGCTTGAGAAGTGTGTATATTCTGCGTTGCTGGATGAAGTAGTCTATAGATGACTATTAGGTCCCGTTGATTGATGGTGCTGTTTAGTTCAACTGTCTTTCCTGACTTTCTGCCTGTTGGATCTGTCCATTAATGATAGATGGGTTTGAGTCTCCAGTTATAATAGTGGATTCATCTATTTCTCCTTGAAGTTCTATCAGGTTTTGCTTTATGTATTTTGATATTCTGATGTTAGGCACTTACACATTAAGGGTTGTTTTGTCTTCTTATAGTAATGATCTCTTTATCATTATGCATAATAATTTCCCTCTTTATCCCTGATAATTTTCCTTGATCCAAAGTCTTTTATGTCTGAATCACTACATTCTTTTGACTAACATTAGCATGGTGGATCTTTCTCCATCTCTTTATTTATTTATTTTTATTTTTATTTATTTATTTATTTATTTTTGAGACAGAGTCTCACTCTGTTGCCTGGGCTAGAGTGCCCTGGCATCAGCCTAGCTCACAGCGGCAACCTCAAACTCCAGGGCTCAAACAATCCTTCTGCCTCAGCCTCTCAAGTAGCTGGGACTACAGGCATATGCCACCATGCCCAGCTAATTTTTTCTATATATTTTTAGTTGTCCAGCTACTTTCTTTCTATTTTTAGTAGAGATGGGGTCTCGCTCTTGCTCAAGCTGGTTGCAAACTCCTGAGCTCAAACAATCCACCTGCCTAGGCCTCCCAGAGTGCTAGGATTACAGGTGTGAGCCACCATGCCCAGCCCATCCCTTTATTTTTAATCCATCTGTATGTTTATATTAAATGTAGGTCTCTTTTAAATCACTGACAATATATAGTTTAGTCTTCTTTTTGTTTTAAATCTATCTTTATTTTTTAATTAGTGAATTTAGACTATTAGCACTTAAGGTGATTATTGATATAGTTGGATTAGTATGTCCCACATTTGTTACTGTTTTCTATTCATTACTTCTTTCTTTTTTCTTCTATGCTTTTTTTCTGTCTTCTCTGGCTTCAATTGATTTTATTTTTTTCCTCTTCTAGCATATCAATAATACATTTTTTCTTTTTACTTTGCCTGTTGGTTGATCTTGGATTTGTAGTACACATTACAACTCCTAACCCAAGTTCTCTTTCTAATATCACTTCAGAAGTCATGCAAGTACTGCATAACAGAATATTCCCATTTCATCCCCCTCCCCATCTCTTATAACACAGTTGTGATTTCCATTCCTCTAGGCCAGTTAGGCCTTGTTAACAAGAACAGAATGCTCTAGGAATATTTCTACATGGCTACTTTCCCTCTTCCCTGGCTGACATCTGAGAGGATTTTTTTCTGATCTTTGCTGTGAGAACCCAGTAGAGCTTCTGAACATATAATTCACAAAAATATGTGGGCCCCCCTAAGACTGGGTCTTCCTTAAATTTTTATCACTCAAACTTGTCCACATTAAGCCTATAGCAATTTGTCATTTACAGATTATGATTTCCTAACCTGATTCTTGTTCCCAGAGATGTTTCTGTTTGGGGGCTTCTGCCCCAGTAAGTTGTCGTTCTCTGTTTCTGGCTGTCTA